TCCCAGAGGTGACTTGAAGTCCACCCAGCTTCAGATCAATGGGTACCAACTTGTCAGGGAAGTAAAGATAGCTTGCGTGCTGGCAACCTTGCTGCAATCATGGCGTTGGTCATGAAATTGTCAAAACTCTAACCTCTATGACCCCCAATGTCTACAACGGGCTGTAGCGAAAGTGCTTTACTTTACTTTTCTCATAAACAGAATTTTAAAATATAAATTTTACAAATAATAACATAGCACAATTTTTAAACATGAATCTTCAAATCAATAAACTGATGGTTGGGTAATTATTTTTATTGATTTTAATGCTTGTATAACAAATATAAATATAGAGATTCATGCGATTTATACTTTCTCCAAAAATTTTATAAATAATTGTAATCTGATACAATGCATGTTTAAAAAATATATTATAAATATATTTTTTTTAAATTTATTTTTAAAAGAAATTACCCATGATAAATAAATAATATATTTCTAAAGATTTTTATCCTTTTGAAACGTTAGTATAAAAATAAAATACCCTCATACTTTTCCTGGCAATTACAAGGTAATATACTGCTTGACCCACTTTCCTGCCATACATTTTTCCTGATATGTCCGTAAAAACGTCCCAATCATCCCGAATGACAATGCAATAAATTGCTGAGTTGACACTATGAAGTACATACTGCAGTTATATAACTTGTTACAGTAAGTACTCGTTAAAGTTGAAAGGGTAATATGTCATTTTAGGGGAGGATGTACAACTTTATCAAAAAAGCTCTGGTTTAAATTATTACTTTTATTTCCGAAATCCTTAGAAAGAAATCACTGCCATGAGCAGAAGTTTACTCTGATTTTATTGTCTGACAAGATCTTTTTCGAAACAAAATCATAAAAAACCTCATATTTTTAACATTTTATGCTAAATGAAGCGTATATCAAAATTGTGGATTTAAAATTTTATTAAATTTTTAATTTTATTTTTTTTATTTCTTTTTACATTCATTTATGCAAATAAAATTTATACAAAAAAAAACTAAAATATTTTATTTTTTAGAAAAAAAATGTGTAAAAAAAGTTTCTAAAATTTTTTTATCGTGATCAATTAATTACTCATGTTTGATTGAGCTGATTAATATGTAAGTAGACTAAATAGAATATTTAAAATTTTAACTAGTAAGGGTTTTAAGTGATTTATCATTTCAATGCTTATTTCCAGGCAGCAAATTTAAAATGAAATTTTAGATAATTAAAAGTAAATTTTAATGCATGCATAATTATTTTATTTTTATTCATTTTGGATGTAAACCATTAAATCATGAAATCACTTAAATCAATAAAAAATGAGGAGGAAAAAAACTTCTATGAAGTATAGTCAGATGCAATGAGCCCAGCTGTGTTTGATTGGTATGGATTATGCATACCACCCCGAGTATTAGTCGTATGGGTTGGTATGAACTCGCACTAGCCACAGTACTGAAGTTAAATATCCTCAGTGGCAAATAGATGATAGGTTAGAATCCTTTGCCTTAGGGCTAACCGTGGGAGGTTTTCGTGGATTTCCCCTCCATGTAACGCAAATAAGGGTTAGTTCCCCTAAAAGGTTTCTTCTGGGTTGGACACAAAATTACAATGCTATGGAGTTGAACATTGTTTGACGCAACTTTAAAAATGGGTTGGCTATTCAACGCAGGTAAAAAAAATATAATGATGCACTTTGAGACATTAAACCAAACTGTGTGTTTGACTTATATTTTGTTTCAAAATTGGCAAGCAGACTAAAAAATATCTTATAAATTTATGAAAAATTCATTTAAACTTTTCAAGTCGATATGACATTACTCATACCTGGCTAAAACAGGCCTCTATACAATTTCACATTAAGATATAATGTCTCAATAAATAAAAATTTTAAGTAACACTACACTGTGAGAAATGTTACAGACTGTCAAACAATAAACTCTTTCAGGTTTGCTTTGAACATAACAAGAATATGAACCTTATATTATATTATATTATATTATATATAATATAAGGTTCATAATATAAGGATAGTTATGTTATATTATATTATATTATATTATATTATATTATATTATATTATATTATATTATATTATATTATATTATATTATATTATATTATATTATATTATATTATATTATATTATATTATATTATATTATATTATATTATATTATATTATATTATATTATATTATATTATATTATATTATATTATATTATATTATATTATATTATATTATATTATATTATATTATATTATATTATATTATATTATATTATATTATATTATATTATATTATATTATATTATATTATATTATATTATATTATATTATATTATATTATATTATATTATATTATATTATATTATATTATATTATATTATATTATATTATATTATATTATATTATATTATATTATATTATATTATATTATATTATATTATATTATATTATATTATATTATATTATATTATATTATATTATATTATATTATATTATATTATATTATATTATATTATATTATATTATATTATATTATATTATATTATATTATATTATATTATATTATATTATATTATATTATATTATATTATATTATATTATATTATATTATATTATATTATATTATATTATATTATATTATATTATATTATATTATATTATATTATATTATATTATATTATATTATATTATATTATATTATATTATATTATATTATATTATATTATATTATATTATATTATATTATATTATATTATATTATATTATATTATATTATATTATATTATATTATATTATATTATATTATATTATATTATATTATATTATATTATATTATATTATATTATATTATATTATATTATATTATATTATATTATATTATATTATATTATATTATATTATATTATATTATATTATATTATATTATATTATATTATATTATATTATATTATATTATATTATATTATATTATATTATATTATATTATATTATATTATNGAGATAAAAAAAATTAGACATTGAAAAATTTATGAGAAGTTTTGAAGCTAGTTATTATTGGAAACACTGTTTGGGACATGCCAGGCAAATTACATTTTGAAGTTCAATTAAATTTTTTAACTATACAAACAGTCAATGGTAGTGCAGAGTCATTTTAAAATGCTAACAGCAATTCTATTTATTAATTTTTTTTAAAAAAATGTTCTTTTAGTATTATAGTATTAGACCTTGGAGCAAGGGACAGTGAATTGTCATATTTCGTGAGAATCACCCATATATTACCCTAAATTAGCTAATTTATATGAAATTAAATTTGAGTAAGAAAGTCGCATATTTCAGTAAGTTTAAAATATTAATATTCTGAACTAATGAACACAATCTTTCCCCTTTTGTCATCCAATGTGATTTAATGTTTTTTTTTAAACAGCTGTGTATTGTAGGGCTTCTATTTTATCATTATGTTTCTATTTTATTATTATAAAAAGGCAGTAAATTCAGGCAGTCTAACGCCATGTTACACTTTAATTTTACAATATTATTTTACTTATCATCATTTGAATTTAAATGCCATAGATAAAAGATTTCCGATGTTGAGGAGAAATGGTAGACGTCTGCATTGTGTAAAAACATTTGTCGAGCAAAATGTTTATATATTTAAATATAATGAGGTATATTTTAAGAAGAAACTGGAAACGGAATAATGTCTAATAATATCAAGTTTAAAATAGATAAATATTTGCATTTGTATTCCGAAAACACCTACGGCTGGGAAAATACAGTTGTGCAAGCTATCATATTTTGAAACTATAACAGGTGTGAGAACTTAGTGGTTACATAGACAATGATATTGTACAGTGGTGCATCGCTTTACTTAAACGATCTGTTTTTTTTTTAAATAACCTCATGAAAATGAAATGGTAGGAAATTAATTGACTAAAAACTTTATTTGCCTAAAAAATATATAAATAAGAAATAATAGTCTATATGTTTCAAGTCCTCAAAAATAGGAGCATATTCTCAAAACTTGCTAGACGTGAATGAGAAAAATCATTCTACTTTTGTTTCTTCTCATTCACATCTGCCATGTCTTGAAAATGGGCGCTTGTTTTTCAGCACTTGAAAAATGTAAACTATTGTTTTTTATCATATATTGTTTGAGCGAATGAAAGTTTTAATCAGGTGAAGTCTGCACTTTACTTTTTTCAATTAATATTTTTTAATAATAATAAATAAATGTCAGTTTTCTTATTAGATTTATTAATATTTTCACTTTATTTGACATTCAAAATGCTCAACGAAACTTTTTTTATATAAATGAATTCCTTTCCTTCATTCCTATAATAAACAGTTCAAGTAGAAACAACTATTTTTTAAAGCAATAAATGTAATGGTTATAGATTTTTCCATACATACATATTTCAGTTTGCTTATACACTTACACGAATAAATAATAAAAGGTCTATTTACTCCCTGCACAAGTTTTGATTTAATTATCTTACAACCAAAAATTTACATCAAATCAGGTTTTGATCTATGCATCAATTTAACACTATTAGAAATAATTGTAAAAAAAAGTTTATACATTTATTAGTCGTGCAAGGAATCTTAAGCAATTACAAAAATTCTGAGCATCATTTAAGTCTCGATGATATTATTTTATATCATCTTCCTCTTGTTTTTTTTTAAATTTAATCATTGGTTGAATCATCAACAATATCATACATCATGTACTGTGTAATTCACATCAAAATAAAAACAAGAAACTAAAATTTAATTTTCACGCTGTTCAATTGTTTTGATCAAATTGCAAACGCAAGAAAAGGATCAACGAAATGAAACCAATTTACAGAGTATCCAATCGCTACTTTATACACAAGCTTTAAATTAAAATTATTACAGACTTTCATTCAGGCCATTTCCTCCGTTTTGAGAGCGGACGATTCCTTCTCCACCTGTACTGGGATCGAGGCTACGCCATCCCCTGTCTTATCACCACCCCCAACAAGGCACTGCTTCCTCCACCTATAGAGTGAGAGGTTCCCGGTAGAAGAGGATTCGCGCACACCCGATACTAGCACGCCCAAAAAGCCCGTGTGATCGCACGGGGCGAGGGCAGTTTCGTTTCTAGTAGCACTTCATTATATTTCGCCGGCCGTTACTTTTTACAGATTTTGCGAACGCTACGATTTCGATACGGAAAATAATGTTTGCTGAAATTTGCACGGTACTCCCAAAAGTAAACGGTTTTTATTCGCTAGAGTTCGTAAATGTTTTATTGAATGAGGCATAAAAAACGAAAAATTATTTAATATTTATATTCTTCAGATGTAAAACTGAAGATCGATTTTAGAAACGCTTCAGTTTTTTTCGTCTTGAAGGAATGCAATAAGTGTTGTGTGCTATTTTCAAGTCAAATATATCGAATTTGTGACATATCACATCGAGTTTGTGTTCTTTAGCTATATAAGGATGTGATATTAGGTAGTTAAAAGAAATTCTAATCTATTTAAAAATATAGTGATGTCTGGAAATGATTATGATTCGTTCTGAAAGATGTAAAGCAAGAAAAATTTTAAAAAATCTAATACTATTCCAGTACATTTTTCTCTCTCTATCTTTTATTGGGAATTCAAATAACCTTGTTATTTGAATAAAATTCTTTAATTCTCTAATTTCAAATAAACTCTAATTGATCTCTCGAGCTTCAAAATCAAAGTACAAATTTTATTCGTACTGAATAAATGAATCATGCTATACATCGAGATGTTAATAATGGTTGATGTTTGCAATTATTTATTAAACCGTTATCTACTGAAGGTATAATACCGATATCACTTACATTAGCTTTAAATACTGGTGCTTATAGTGTGGTTAATACTACTTAAAGTAACTCGTGAAGACATATCACTTTGTTAGGAGAAAGAACTAGAACTGTATTAGGAGGAGAGAAAAGTAATTTCGTTAAAGTTTGGAACATACATTAGTCTCAGTGAAAGGCATCGACAATGCCTTGGTATCGAGGACCAAGTGGTTCTGCTCAAGATTTAATTGAATTACAAAAGGAGGAATCTGTTCCTGCTGCAGAAGTAAGCAAACTTCGAAGGGTTCTTACTTCACATGCAAAAAGAAGAAAGAAAAAATCAGCTCATCATGTTGGGGGATTTTGTCTCACATCGGTACTGAAAGAGCCGCTTTGCTTAGTGAACTCTGTTCCCCTCAATTTTGAATTTGGAAGGTAAGATATGCATTTAAACACACAATTCAAATTAATATTTAATGTTTACTGTAGTAATTTCAATTTTGTCTCACATCGGTACTGAAGGAGCCGCTTTGCTTTGTGAACTCTGTTCCCCTCAATTTTGAATTTGGAAGGTAAGATATGCATTTAAACACACAATTGAAATTAATATTTAATGTTTACTGTAGTACTGAATAATTTAATTTAAAAAAAATTTCACTAGAAAATTGTAATTTGAACTGGAAAAATAAATTAAAAAAATCATGTCATTATTTTTTTGTAAGCTTTTGCCTGTCTGCAAATTTAATTAATAATCAAAATGTCATGAAAATAAAAACAAAATTTAACACTGGAAATTTATATTTCGTTTTAAAGTGTTGCAAAAATTAAAAATTAGTTCTAACGACTTTCTTAAAAAAATTTTAGTACTAGAAGTTTTTCAAAAAATTAAAATGTGTAATAACCCGCAGCTATTTTAATGCAGAAAAAAAAATTATTTAATTTCTTACGAAGATCGCATTTTCTTCCAGGATGTGTTTTAAATATAAAAAATTCATTAAACTAACATTAGTGAACTTTTTTGGCGCTACCTTAAATTCAAATTAATATGGAGCGTTATTTTTTCATTTCTGAAACATTTTATTTTTGCATAAATTAAGTTATTCATCCAGAGCGAACATATAGATTTATTACAGATATATATTTGACTTATATAATACATTGAAGCAAAGTAATTTAACTTGGATCTAATTCTTATTACATTAAAAAATTATTATATTATTTATTGTATTTTCAATTGAATTTGGAATTTTTTGTTAATTTATTTTCATATTTATTGATGTAAGTAGCTTGTGTAATCCATTTTAACTCAAAATGTCACAAAATATAATAGAAATTTAGAAATTTTAATTTAGGAAAAGTATTTCATTTTTAATTCATTTTTTATTGTTTACGAAGAGGCTATTTTTGGTTATAAAACCCATTTATGAGAAAAAAAAATTATATTTTCGTTTTTTGTCTAAAATATCGCATTCAATCACAGTTATTTGCATTTGTAGTAATTTGAATTGAAGCTGATTTCATCAAATAAAAAGTAACGGAATATTTTTTTTCCAAGTTTATATTTCTAATAGCGGTGCGCTACAGCAAATTTTTCTTTTGTTTTTCTCACTTATATATATATATAT